AAACTTTGTCATTGTAAAGCAAAAAATCTTTTTCTAAGTTAGGCGAGAGTCGTGAAAATTTTTCATTGTGTTCCGAATATTTTTGTGTTTCAGGTTGATTCGTTTAATTGGTGTAATAAAATGGGTTTATCACGATGAAACAGTTTCTGTTTAATGAAACATTTTTTTWATTATATATTTGATTCAATGTATAATAGTGATACAGTTTCATTTTAGTGAAAATGGAATTAACGATCATGAAAAACGTTTGATATGAAAAGGTTTCATTACGAAGTAGTTAGGCAAATAGGTTGTTGTTGGTGAAACATTTTCATTTTACAATTCATTGGAGGTTGAATACCTAGTTTCACGATGAAATAGTTTTATTTGATTTTATATGAAATTAAGGTTCATTTAAATTTTCGATATGCAAAAGTTTCATTACGAAATAGTGGATCAAATAGGTTGATACCGATGAACAATTTCATTTCATTTTATATGAAATTAAGGTTCTAGTAAAGCATAACTGTTTAAAGGTTTCTATAAGGAAAAAAATATAAGAAAATATGTCAATGCCGGTGAAACATTTTAACATTATATTTTCAATTTAAAATCGATTCGATGTTGAATAAAAAATTTCACGATGAAATAATTTCATTTGATTTTAAATGAAATTAATGTTCATTTAAATGTTCGATGTGCAACGGTTTCATTACGAAATAGTTATTCAAAAAGGTTGATACCAATGAACAGTTTCATTTCATTTAATATGAAATTAAGGTTCTAGTAAAGCATCAATGTGCAAAGGTTTCATTTAAAAAAAAGTTAAGCAAATAGGTCAGTCTCGGTGAAACATTTTCATGAAACGGGTGCATAATTGGAATAAAATGAACAAAAAAAAAGTGTAATATTACATTTCCACAATTATTGTTATGAAATAAAATGAACAAAAAAAACGGATGCATACGAATTACATGTAGTATGAACAAAAAAATGAACAATTGGAATTGGAACAAAAAAAATGAACAATTGGAATTACATGTAGTATGAACAAAAAACAAAAAAAACGGGTGCATAATTGGAATAAAATGAACAAAAAAAAACGGGTGCATACGAATTACATGTAGTATGCATAAAGTGTCTTGGAATAAAATGAACAAAAAAGTCTGGAATAAGGAAACGAACAATTGCATAATTAGACATTTCCACAATTATTGTTAATTATTGTTTACCATTCTACCCTTATTGATGAAATAAACTGAATTTTTATTTTTTATTTTTTTTAATTTCCATAAATAAAACCTACAAATCTTGACCATTGATCAAGAAAATGGATGGTTAAGATTGGTTTACACGGTTTACACAAATGGAGAGAGTTTTCATTTGAACGCTCCTCTATATATATATATATATATATATGCATGCACGTATGTGATGGAAATTTGAGTTTCTATGCCGGATGTTGCCCTAAATATATTGATAAATGTAAAATGTCAGGTGAGTTATATTTTTTATTTTATTCTAATAGATTTATACTTATATCGTTTGTCAAATCATCAAATGATAAGGATTTGATTTGTTTGTTTTTCATAGGAAAATTCTTATCGGTTTTTTATGTTTGATTCATCAAGTGTTCAGAGACACTTATTTCTTATGGTTCTCTTATCTGGTAAGAGGTAAATCAACCCCTTATTGTTCTTCAAAACCTCCAACAACGACGTTTCTCAATCGATTAACCTTAATCGATCAGTTTTCTCAATAGATTCTTACCAAGTCAATCCTTACCTCTCCTAATTGATGTATTTTAATTGGATTTAAATGTGTTAAATACCGTCAATAACATATTTTCGTTTAAATTAATGCTAATTATATAATTTAGATTTAAATTTCATAATGATAAAAAAATAAATATGTGAACTTATATAAATTTATCTATAAATTCAATACTATAATTTTTCAATGGCTAAAATAAACAAATTCAGACATTATGAGTTTACAAAAAACAAACAGTCTTATTGATTCAGATTTTACATTTCAGTACCATCTCTTATAAATAATAAGTGAAACAAGACTTCAGACTTTAACACCTCTTAAAAAACAAACGTCACCTAAGTCAAAATACATCTTTAATGAACATTTATGCTAACACAAATAACTAATGTTTCTAATGTCGTATCCTTCCAAAAATTTCCCCCATTTTACAATTAATTAATTATTATTTTTATTTTTCATACAATAAGACCATCACTTTTAGAAGACTTCTAGATATATAGTAGTGTGATATTTGTTTCAAGTGAGTTTCTGTTCATACAAGATCTAAAGCCATTGATTCTAGATAGTCAATTAATATCGAATCAGAGACTAATTTTAAGTGCTGACATCAATAATATATAATAAAGTTTAGAGATAATAAAGTTTGCAGCATGTGCATCTAATTAATGAAGAGCATTAATTCATGGGTCACTGCTTAATTGAGGCCAAAACATTTGCTGCATGGACTCAAGATTCTTTAACCAAGTTCTTTCTCCATATTTTAAATTTTTTGCATCCATCACTCTGTCAACATAATTCAGATTCGACTCCATGACTGTCTACGTACGCAAGAAACATCCCATGACCAAAGATTCATTTACTTTATGTTAAGATCAATTCGATTTCGATTTTCTGAATTCAACTTCGTAATATTAGTTTTGAACAAGGATTACAACATAATTGAGTTTATCAGATGTCAAATGTTTAAGTGTCTTAATAAACAACTGACTTATTTTTAGAGGACCAAACATCTATGTCTAATATATATCTAAAAGTGTTGTAATAATTTTGTAGGACGTTCATAAACATTTGAACAAGCTTTTTATGACACTTTTGAAACAATGTGTTATTTAGTCATTTTTCAAATAATGCACTATAAACGGGCTAATAGGACACTTTATTTCGAAAATTGTCTAAAAAGCTTTGAAGACAGTCCAAAATCGTCAACCTTATTACAATATTTGAATATGATACACAATTTGGTCCTATAAATTAAGTAGTTTATTAGGATAAATGGGAATTTTGTTATCCTATAAACCCGATCTTGTTTTAGTGAGATAAAGAGAAGTCGGGCCAACTCGTCCATAAATGCAGTTCATGTTCATGCATTATATCTATAACTTTTCAATTAACGGTAGCTAGGTCTTTATATGCTTTGGCCTTTTCTTTCAAGTAAACTTTGTGAAAAACATGCATGATTTGATTATTTCTCATGTTGGAAGTTCATGCTACATTGAGAGAGAAAAAACGATGGTAATTCGATCGACCCTCTTAAAGCCAACAAATCATTTATACCAATATGAGAATATTATGTGAATCATAAAGTTTGCTGCACATACATAAGCATTAAGCACACCATTAATGATCACCGGTTTGAGATGATGAACAAAGTTCTAATGAGCATTAAGATTGAGATAGTTAATATGGAGATTGACAGATGGGTATATACCTCCATTTGGATATTTTGGGAACTTAACAAGATCATACTAGAGATATTATGTAATATAATGGTACGAGTAATTAATTTATTATAGCAGACTGGTTCAATGATCTTAAAAGCAATTTAAATATGATGTGGAGTTATTGATAGTCTACCTAAAATCTGTATACACATCTCATGTGAGAATGGAGTTGTGTATATATATATATATATATCAACACTGTATACACATCTCATGTGGAATGGAGTGTTGTATACATACCAACATTATGTGTAAGAACAGAGAAAGAGAAGAATCGCGATTAAGAAAGTTACAGTTTTTAGTTTGACATTAGAAGTCAAATCAAATATTTTAATGAAACAGTGTGTCAAGGAGTCAAGGTAAATGTTTAATCTTCCAGATAATGGGTATAAGTCATTAAGGTCATCAAGCATGTAGTTTCAGGGATTTAATGATGTTTTTAGAAGACAAACATACCATCTATGAGTTCAAAATCCTTCTTTTCTTTCTGAAAAAAGATGATCCGATGCCATATATACAAAATCCTAATAATTGGAAGGATCTTATCTCAGGATTGAATTTGTTGAAATGTTATGCTTGTTTAATTGTTAAAATTAAAACATCCATCTAAAATAAATGTTTGAGAAAGATCGATACTTTAAATAAATCCTATTTAGAAAGCGGTGAATTAAGTTTGTTGCAGTTAACGATGCCAAAATCGAGCTTAGGGCGTTAACAAACTTATGTATGAAGAAAGAGAGGTGAGTTAAGTTTGTGCATGAAGGCTAGGGAGAGAGATTCTTTTTGGATCATTCAATCAGTCAAAGAAGCATGATAACTTGTCATTCTCAACAACACTAAGGCTAATTGATTGTCTTTGAATGGGCTATAAATAATTGTACTCATTTTGCCACTTATATATATAGACTTGGCCACATCTCTATGCCTATCAACTTAATCAATGCCCTCTTTAATCTCTCTCACTATGCTCCAATTACTCAAGCACATGAAGTCTTACTAATATTGCTTCGTTAAATCAGTCCATTTCACCTCACCATCCTCCATCACCATCATGCAATTACTCACCATGGTCTTTCTTCAATTCTATGAGAAAAAGTAACAACACTCAACCTTCTCTCTCTCTCTCTCTCTCTCTCTCTCTTTCTATCTTTGAATATGGATTATGCATATCCTTCAAGCAACAATGAGACCATGTTGGTCTCTTCAAACAGGGAATCTAATCGTGAAAATCTTGATACAAACCACGAAGAAGAGGGACCTTTGTTCGGGCAGTTTCCTTCGCCTTTCCTTGACGACATATCTACTACTGCAATACTGCAAAACCACCACCCACATCACCTTAATACCGATGGATGGAAAACAGCCACGGGCAGCCCCACAAACAAGCCTCCGACATCGCCTTCTAAGACCAAACGTGTAAGGAAGAAAAGAAGTGCTGGGAAGAAAGACAGGCATAGCAAGATTCATACAGCTCAAGGTCTTAGAGATAGAAGAATGAGGTTATCCCTCCATATTGCTCGCAAGTTCTTTGGTCTCCAAGATATGTTAGGGTTTGACAAAGCCAGTAAGACTATTGAGTGGCTCTTTTGCAAGTCCAAGAAGGCAATCGAAGAAGTCACTGAAGGCGTCAAATCACAAAATACTAATCAAAGTGTAAGCAGAGAGAATATTGAGAGATGTGAATCGCCTTTGTCTGACTGTGAAGTGGATTCAGGGATGGAGTTCAATGCTGCTTCCAGCAAAGGTAAGCAATTGAAGCTCCAGGATGAGATCAAGGACAGTGGAAATTCAAGAAAGCCAACAGAAAGTGATCTATTGGCAAGGGAGTCGAGGGACAAGGCTAGGGCAAGAGCAAGGGAGAGAACAAGAGAGAGAATGATGATCAACCAACTCGAGAAATCAAAGCAGGTGTTCGGAGCAAACCCTAATGATGATTTTGAGCAACTGCAATTAGGGTTTTCAGCAAACCCTAATAATCACTACATCGAAGAATCCTCAAGTTCTCCCCTTGAATATCCCGGTAGACATCACTTCTTTGAGCAGACACAATTGGATAATATTGGGCAAAAAACTGAGGATTATTTGGGGACTACGGCTGCAAGTTCATCATCATATTTCTCTGCATACGGTTACAACAAAAATTTTGCTAACCCGCCAGCTGGTTGGTTAAATTCTAGTAATACATTCTTGGGTTTCCTTGGAGGTTGGGATTCTGAAACTTTCGCCGAGAACTACGGACTTCTGCCACCATCGACAGGTGATCTTCATGGAAACCTTAGCTCCGTTGTTATTCCTCCCTCTAATTTTTTGCATTTCGAAACTCAAAACCAAAGAGATTAGCAAGGTTTTAATTGCTGGAAAAATCAAAGTAATGTACTCGAATACGTAAATCGATATTGTTGTTTTTTTCAATCACATTTCTATCTTTTTGCTTGAAGGTTCGATTTACAGGTTAGGAGAATAAATGGATCATGATGTATCAAATTTTTGGCATTTTGTCGTTTAATTTAATAGACAAAATAGCTACTTTCAACCTCTATTTGTTTGATGTAATAATAAGTCATGAAGAAGGGAAGGATGCCATTTTTGATTATAGCAATCTTCAAAACAGTAAAGGTGGCAACAAATAGACTGCCTTTAATTTTTACCTATTGCATGTATAGTTAGGAATTAGATTCTGAAGGTGATTCGATGGCCGGGTATTCTCATTTTCACACTACTAAAAAATCGGGTTTTTCCGACGGCAAAATCCGTCGGAAATCCGTCGGAAAAACAACTTTCCGACGGATTTCCGAC